CCTTTTGGGAAACGTTTATCTTGATGGTAAGCAGCTCTCTCTCTCTCTCTCTCTCTCTGTATTGGCCTAGCAGGCAGCTTTCTTTTCCTGCACAATCACTATAGATCACTAACCATTTTCCATTTCCTCTAAGAGCAAGATGTGTGATAAATATAGAGAGGCTCAATGTGCCTTTTAACAATAGCTAAAACAAACAAACAAACAAACTTGAAAGCTAGGCTACAGATAGGAATTAGCTTAAGGTCACCCAAATGAAGTTTGTAGCAGATGGAAAGTCTTAAGTCCATTATCATAGTATAAGGAGCCCCTTTTGTAACAATTTGTACCCAAGGGTTCAAAAGACTAATTCTCGCTATCTGTCGTTCAATGACCAGAGAATCCCACTGCTATATTTAAAACGAACAGGTTGCCTTAACAGACACCAACTTGAATCAAAATTCCAGAGTCAAAGGGAATAAACAGATAAACAAGAGGAAGTGTTAACAGGTTTGGGGAAATCATGAAGGTTTACATTAACATAGATACTTATCCGGTGACTATATGATATTTGTTTGTCTATGAGACAGGATATAATCACCCACAACACTGGAAAATGATTTGGTTGACTTGAAAACAAGGCAACAACTGCTCAAAAAACCAACATGGCCCATGATACTTCAACAAGACTAAGACATACCTTGAAGAAAGCCCTATAGGAAGCTCATGCCAATAGAACTGCAGTTGGAGCACAACAAGTGGAGTTATTATTGCTGCTTGGCCTTAGTTGAGCAGAACGTCATCGATATAATAGCATGTAATCCAAATCCATGATAAAGCACAGGAGGATCTTTGATATTGACAGGCAGAAATTGCTACCTCTGTCCAATAGATTCTGCTGTCCTAAAGTCTTAGGATTAAATGTCTTTTATAGAGACAAGTGTGCTGCATATTTCAATAAACTGACAATTCCTAAGTATAGGAAAGCTTAGCGAGGGTTCATATTATGACCTCAATACTGATGGAAGGATGATTCCAAAGTATACTTCATGACCAAAGATTATGTTAATGTGCTATTGAAATGGTAGCTGCACCCTATGTTTGGTGATGATCAAAAAGCCTGCCTAGGCCTTTATAATTTGGAAATAGCTGTGTCATGACCTGTACACATTACAACAGGGTTTGAAATTATTCACATTGTGGTCTTGTATGTGTTTCCTCCAGAACCTGGGAAATTTATTTCTAAAGACCATAAATTCCAGTGGCTATGCTACATAGGATTCTGGAAGTTGTAGTCAAAACTGTAACCTTTCCAAGCTATGCTTTAGTCAATAGTAAGCAGGCTCAATTTAGTAGGGTTTGCTCCAAAGCAGGCATGTTTGAGATTGTTATGTTAGCATAATTGGTGATGTTTATAGCCCTATTTATGCATGTTTACTCATAGGTAACTTCCTTTGTGTTCACTGAGGCTCCCTTGTAAGTAAAGGAGCTTGAAATGTAGTTTTTCAGTCCACTTGTATGTAATTTGTATTTGCAAACCCTACTACTTTCAGTGTGATTTGCTCTCTCATATGCATTTACTTATGCTCATTTATCGTATTTGCATCCTGTCTTTCTTACAGGCAGCTCAAAATGGCTTACATGCTTCGTTTCCATCTATTTTATTATCACAAGTCAGTGAGATAGATCGGGCAAATAGATAGTCACTGGTCCTTGACCATCTATTGAGCTTCATAACTAGATAGGGAAATGAACCTGATATTTCAACCATTATACATACACTGGCTCCTAATCCTACAACCATTTGCAGATTAAGCCTTATTTGACTGTTTTGATCCCATTCTTTGGAGAAAGACAGGATAAAACTGGTATAAATATATAATAAATATCAGCTGCATATGGTTGAAGTTGGATTTGATATAGATGCTCTTCCACTGGTTGAGTGCCATTAATACCACTGTAGCTGGTTTTGATCAATACCACTGTAACTGGTTTTACAGTGGCTATTTAAAACTACATGCATAATGTCTAGCAATTATCATTTAATTTAATTATGTGCTTTCAAGTCCATTTCTAGCTTACGATGACCTTTTGAGTTTTCTAGATAGAAGTGGTTTTCTAGACAGAAGTGGTTTTCCATTACTTTCTCCTGGGGGTGCTCTGGGACTGTGCAGCTTGCCCAAGGCTCCACGGGCTAGATCTCCTGAGACACACAATGGGGGATCGAACTCCTGACTCCTAGCTCCACAGCCAGATACTTAACTCGCTGAGCCACTAACACACATTCAAACATTCAAAGTCTTCTTGTTCTTTGTCCTTGACTAAGCCCTAAAAAAGAGAAAGGTGCAAACAACCAAAATATTTCACAAAAACAAAAGAACCTGAAAGATTACAGCTTAAGGATCTCTGAAAAAGACAATAATGCTCGGAAAGGTTGAAGACAGCAGGAAAAGAAGACCAAATATAGGATGGATTGACTCCCTCTAAGAAGTACAGGCTTGAGTTTACAAGAGCGATTGACTCCCTCAAAGAAGTCACAGGCTTGAGTTTACAAGAGCTGAGAAGGGCTGTTGAGGATAGTACATTTCGGAGATCTCTCATTCATGGGGTCACCATAAGTTGAGGGTGACTTGATGGCACATAACAAGAAGAAACATTCATATTGCCCAAGGATTATGAGAGCTGTACGGAACTTTTCCAAGGTCTGCAAAACAATGGACCTGACACTGCCTGTAAGGCAGGTTGTGGTTCTTGTGGTTGGCTAACCTTCCTTCATGATGTTCTACCTTTCAAGGAATGGCTTCTCTCTACTACGCTGGCACACCTTGATGTCCTCCTTGTATTTGAACTTCCAAAAACATAGGTGTGGCCCCATACGTTGGTCATGACTCAAGGATGCCTAATATGATAGTGCTAACAATAGCAGCAGTGGCGGTTACCAGAACCTAGGCAGTAATTGGCTTCCATGGATAACAAGTAAGTTATTTCCAGCAAGTAAAAGGAAGGGGGTCAGAGCAATTATGAATGAAAGTTCTTCTTTCCTGCCCTGGTTGCATTCAAAAAGCACTTGCTTGGCATTCTAGCTGGGTGGCATAATCAAAGCAAATTTTAGATCTTGGGTTTATTTAGCTTTTAGTGACACAGAAGGTCCTCTTCAGACTATTTATTTGTGTTGAAGAACATGAGGAGGCAGGAGGGAGCAGAAACAAGATCACAATAATGACAGAAGGGCTTTGTCCTGCTGAGCCCCAATATCTATGTGTAAGATTTGCATTTCTCCCCACCAAAATAAAAAAAGGCAGCTGGTGAGGGTATTGCTATTCAGTGCTATCCATTTATGGCAGTCTTCTCTGTCTACAGCCCTGATATGATGTTTGCTCCATGGGCTGGATCTCCTGAGACACACAATGGGAAATCGAACTCCTGACTCCTAGCTCCACGGCCAGATACTTAACTCGCTGAATCTCCTGAGACACACAATGGGGGATCGAACTCCTGACTCCTAGCTCCACAGCCAGATACTTAACTCGCTGAGCCACTAACGCACTTGAATGAACATTCAAAGTCTTCTTGTTCTTTGTCCTACACATTCAAACATTCAAAGTCTTCTTGTTCTTTGTCCTTGACTAAGCCCTAAAAAAAGAGAAAGGTGCAAATAACCAAAATATTTCACAAAAACAAAAGAACCTGAAAGATTACAGCTTAAGGATCTCTGAAAAAGACAATAATGCTTGGAAAGTTCAGTGCTATCCATTTATGGCAGTCTTCTCTGTCTACAGCCCTGATATGATGTTATCTTAAGATATATAAATAGGATCGGACTTGGGTACCTCAACTAGCCATGCAGCTGTAGGAGCCCTGTTGTTCTCTGTCCCATCATCCTGTGAAAAGAGATGGATGGGCAAAAAGAAATAGCCTTTTTGGGGAGGCACAATAATTTAGAAACATTGTTCTAGTACAAGTTGTTCTAGTACAGGGCCGGAGCAGTGGGTAACAAATGTGTGTGTATGCAACCCAAGGATAACAGATGTTGACCCCAGTCTCCATATTGTCTGTAATTAGAAGGAACGGCTTGTAGTCCCTTTCTTCCTATCCAGCAAAGGCATTTGTTTATCGACAGACTGTTTTCCGCTTCCTTACCCCCCCAGCTTTTTTTTTTTTTTTTTTTTTTTTTTTTTTTGCCTTTTGGGAAGTTGACAGAATTTACTTAAAGCACTGCAGAAGTCTACAAAATAAGAACATGTCTTTAATTCTTCATTAAAACCTGAGGGGTCTGCATTTTGTGTCACCTTTCGGTGTACATGGGAGTGTATGCTCTGAGCCACTCTGCTATATAATTTGTCCATTAATATTCTTATCAGACCCCTTCTTCTAACCACCGCTGAACTCTGACGGCTGGAATTGGAACAATGAAGAGTTTCATATTATCCTTTTTGTTCACAGTTTGTTTGGTACCTTAATTAATCAGACAGAAAAACCTCCCCAGCCCATTAAAATTCTAACCACAAACCAACAGAGCTATTACACAGGCTGTTTGCTCTCCTGTACTTAATTCACTCACAAGAGTTAGGTGAGAATGGGCTTTTGATAGGGGATATGTGTTTTCTGAAATACCTCTGTTGTATCTGAATTGGGCTACTAGTTGGTTGAGCTAGGCTGGTTAACAGCAAGCCTGAAGCTGGGGGGTGGGTGGGAAGGTGCTCAGAAATTTGTCATTGCAGACATTACAGATATATATGAGCAAGTATTTCAAACATTGCAAACAGTGTAAAGATAAAAAAAAGCTTGCAACTGGTTGACAAAAGCAATTATAACAATAATATGAACAGAAGCCAGAGTACTACATAAATATATACCGTATTTTTCGCTCCATAAGACGCACCTTTCCATAAGACGCACCAATTTTTTAGGAGAAGAAAACAGGAAAATATAATCTGTTTTCTTCGCTCCATAAGACGCACAGACTTTCCACACCCCTGTTTTGTGGGGAAAAAGTGAGTCTTATGGTGCAAAAAATACAGTACCTCTGAGTGCCATTGCACAATGAGGTGCCGAACCAGGAGTTATTTGCCAAAAAATCCTGCAAAATCTCTTTAATCCAAAAGGCTTCTTCTGTAAAACGGTCCATGGTACAAAAATAAGTAGCTCCAAGAGAAAAACCACAAAGCCCTGAAGGTAAGCTGATAGTATAGTATAGATACTCTATACTTGAGTTGTGGGTTTTCCGGGCTTGTCATCACCTTACAAAAATAAGTAGCTCCAAGAGAAAAACCACAAAGCCCTGAAGGTAAGCTGATAGCACCACAGGCAATGCAGCAATCCTGCACTCAAGTACAGATACTCTATACTTGAGTTGTGGTTGTGGGTTTTCCGGGCTTGTCATCACCTCAATAAAGGTGATGACAAGGAGCTAATTGGTCCTTCCAAGGGAATGGAAGTTTCTTTCCTCTCCCACTTTCTTCCTCTCAAAACTGAAACTTTGCAAACATAGCATTAAGGGGTTCCACCCCTCCCCTGTGGACTAAACTAAATATAATAATAATTGCATGCTGTCAAGTCAATTCTGACTTATGGCAACACTTTTCAGAGTTTCCAGGTGAAGAACACACAGAAGTGGTTTCCCATTCCCTTTTTTCGGGGGACCGTGCAGCTTGCTCAAAGCTACACAGGCTGTGAAGTTATAGAATCGTAGAATTACAGACTAATGGAGTTGGAAGGGGCCTATAAGGCCATCAAGTCCAACCCCCTGCAGGAGTACATGTCAAAGCAGATCTGAAAGACACTTGTCCAAATTTCTCTTTAATGCCTCCAGTGTTGGTGTTCTCATCACTTCCGTACACATCAAAGCATATCTGAAAGACGCTTGTCCAAATTTCTCTTTAATGCCTCCAGTGTTGGTGTTCTCATCACTTCCAGAGGTCATGGATTATATTGTCGTACTGCTCTAACAGTTAACAATTTATGTCCATGTTGGCAGAGCTGTCTCACCACTTCCAGAGGTCATCGGTTCCACTGTCGTACTGCTCTAACAGTTAACAATTTATGTCCATGTTGGCAGAGCTGTAACTGGTAGTTTTTGTAAGTGGGGCCAGCAGCACTGTCTCTCATCCACTCTGCCCTGGGGTATGGGCATGAGCTGCCCCCCAAGACAGAGAATCCCTATGCTTTCCAAAAAAGGAAAGCAAATTGGATCAGGGGCTGTTGCTGCTTATCTTCCTAACTCTCACTAGGAGATTCGCCACCAGTTTTTAGCACCCTCTCTAAATGGTGCTGGCTGGATAAATCAGACTTTTTCTCTGTATAAGATGCCCCACACTTTTATAACCCTCTGGGCTCAGAACACTCGGACATTAGTGTCCCTGTTGCAACTGAGCACTGTTGCAATTGGTGTGTTCAGTATCAGCTGACGTCAGTTCCATAAGGCTCGTGACTGGAGGAAGCTAAGCCTCTTGATTGAAGGGAGCCTGTTTGCAGAGGCAAGATACAGACCATTTTGTTCTCTCCTGAGCTTACTGCCATGTATAAGACAACCCCCAATTTTTTAGTCTAACAATTTTAGGAAAAAGTAGCGTCTTATACATGGAAAAATATGGTAATCCCCCCCCCAACCTCTGCTTCAACCACTGCCCCAAGAATGAATACATGGAAAAATATGGTAATTCCCCCCCCACCTCTGCTTCAACCACTGCCCCAAGAATGGGCAACGTTTGTTCTCCAAGTTGCCTTCACCCCATTTTTTAACAGACTACATCAGGATCTGTGTGGTGGCTTGCTTTACACTGCCGGTTGTAAAAGCAATGGCATGTACTTCTGATTGTGCGTACTAGTGTGAGTCTCACTGTTTGAACCCAATGAACTTGGTCTTTGGCTGACCGAGATGGGAACTAGATGATCTTCCAATCACACAAACACCTCACCACAACATTTGGATGTTAACTACAGTAGTCCCTCGACTTACGACTGTCCCGACTTACAACCATTTCGAGTTACGACCAACTTCGGCTGCAAATTTTTGCTTCGACTTGCAACAGAATAAAAGATGGGGGGAAAGGCAGGGAATTCAAATGTACTAACCATTGGTCAACGAAGAA